TGCTATAGCCCCATCTGCACCCCATGCACATCAGGCCATTTCAGTTCCAAGACTTCCTAAAGACCCACCGAGGGCTTTCTTGGGAATGAAGTGTCTCAGGCATGAGAAACAGGAGACACTGTCTTCTACACAAAGGTATTTATCCCCTTAGGAAGGAAGATACTTTAATTAAAACATTGTCTTGTAAATAACCACCCAATTCAATCATGATAGGGAATGTCTGGAGACAGCATGAAATCTGTTTCTCACGGCTTCTTCAGCAGCCTTTATTAGTGAGGAAACACAAAGCCTTATTTTTCCAGCAGGGATTTCTTCAAGGATTAGAAGATGCACGTCACTTGACATCCATTTTCCTTATCTCCCATCAGTTTACCCATCCGTTTTGCTAAGAGCCCGAGCACTTTATCCATATTAACTCTGTCTGGTTGGAGCAACGCCTCTTCTCAAATGCTATGGGCGCCTCCTCGATGCGGCGCACAGCCCTGCGAAAAGGAGCAAGTCTCCAGGCTCTGACCCCGCAGACACAAATATAGCCCGGATGGTAGGGCAGATACCGGATCTTTGTACCATCCACTTCTGAGCTTGTCTGAAAGCCACGCTCTCTGGTTGCTCTTCTCAACTGTTGTCTCTCCCTCCATTGCCATCATGGTTTTTTCCATTCCCAAACCTTGATTAAGTAGAACTGAAAATGCACACAGCTATATTTGAAGTAAGGAGCAGCAAAATCTAAAGAAAAACAGACAGCCCCTGCTCTGTTGCTCCAATTTAGCAGTCCACCCCTACTTAGCAGGAGTTTCATATATACTTAAGCATATGATTAAGTTCCATTTACACAAGCACATGCTTAAATGCTTTGGTAAACTGGGTGAGCATAAGCATATGTTTAAATGTTTGTTGAATTAAGGCCTATGGAAAAATTCCTTGCCAAAACCACTCAATAACCACCAACTGCACTGCCTCATCAAGTTGATTTTGCATATTCTGATTTATTTATTTTCACCACTTTCCATAACAAGGTAGTTCCATTGCACAAACCTGCCTTGGTGGGGAGAACAAATACATGATTGCTAGTACTTATGCTAGTTAGGCCAGTATATGTTGGGTACATATATATGATATAGCAACTGAAAGCACAGTCAGGCTGTTAATTTCAATTCAGAACTAATCACTGTGGACTGGAATCACAGTCACATGGAAACTTACTCATTTGGGCTCTTCACTGTAACAGCCAACACATAATGGCAATGAAATAAATACTGTTCTCCTTGTTACATCTCACTACTCAACTAAACGAGCAATTTAAATACCAGGTTCATTTTATATCCCAGTCCGTGCTTTGTTAGTCCTATTTCATATCATTTATTTCTAGTGACCAGGTGTGGTATTCTCACAGTTTCTCTCGAGCAACACAGCAAACTGTCTTCTAAGCCAATGCTCAGATTTTCAAGATAAATACAAGCAAATACAAGGCCACACATGGGTAATTTTGTTAATGCTAACAACAAATATAAACTAAATAAAGATACCAAGCCATTAAAAAACCCTCAAAATAAATCCTCTCTCTACACAACAGTTCATCATTTACCCAGATAGTGTAAATACCTTCCCACGTAATTTTTCCAAAACAAACCCAAACTTGCTGCATTCCTTAAGCAATATCACTAAGCTAGACAGCGGTGTAAAAGGCTGACGGAGGAATTGCCTGACAACATGAAGTGCCCTCAGATTTACAAACGTCATCGTGCATTGAGGCTGAACACTGTGTGACAAACAACCTTAAATATCGTGGGACAAGCCTTCAAATCTACCTTAAAAATATACCCTGAAGATAATGTGCTTCTGACACTGTTCCTGCACCAAATGTTTACTCAAGTAAAGAGGCCACATGACGAAACAGCTCCCTACACCAAGAAAAAGAAATCACAAAGTTAAGCAGTTGTAACACAAACATTTCACAACCCTCCTGAAAGAAAAACCATAGCCCTAAGGACACACGCATTTTCAGAAGATACTTTGCTTTAGATTGTAACTTGAAAACAGCAAATAGCACAGACAAATCTGTGTCTTTTTCAATGTGCGCTCTTCTATAGCGGCAGCTAATAAATACTCTAAACCAAACTATTAATAATTATTGTTGCTCTAACTCCAGCACTCTTCTGCCCAACACTAACACACATCTTTTAAACGTCAAGGATAAGCTGTGACCAGTAAAAGCACACCTAACTTAACTCCTCACTAGTGCAGACCTCCTCATAGCCGGACCAAGTTAGTCCAAAAATTAAAGGTGGAAGTTCAAGTAAATCAGTAGCATTCAAAACATGGTCACAATATCCAGGTGGGAGATATTTGTGTCTGATATTTGTGTTTTAAAAATAATTACTAAATCCATGTTCAAACACTCACACATGTGTTCCAGTTCCCCAAAATCTGACCATTAAGGTAGGTAACTTAACTTTTAGTATTTTCAAAGTCAAAAATCTCAGTCTATGTGTTTCCCTGGACAAAAAAAAAAAAAAAAAAAAAAAAAAAAAGCTATTGGTGATTTCCGATACGCCTGCCTGCAAAGACGCCGGCCCGCCCGGCCATTTCCTCCCTTTTAACCAGGCCTGGAGGCGACCCAGGGAGAGAAACGGGGTTCCTAACGAGCAGGTAATCTTTTCATTTTTATGGAACGCTTCTGCTTAAAAAGAAAGTTATCTCATTTTGGCATTTCTATTAAAAATTAATCTCTTCTCTGGAGAGGTAGGGAGACGAGGACAGGTTTTGAGGCAGCTGACGACGCTGAGCGGGGGAATGGCGTGAGGTGCCCTCCTGGCGTTTCATGAACCGCTACCTACTGCCCGTGTGAACCGTTTTACTTTCCCCTTTAGCAGGCTAGTGTCAAACATAAGACCTAATAATGCCACCTTGGATATCAACATTAGCTTTTTCCCCAACATTGTTAACCAAAATGGGGAATCTCCCAGAAGGGAGATGCCACAGAGAAGGAAAATGAAAGGAAGAGCAGCAGGCGGGAGAGGCAGAAGGGGGAGAAATGGCAAATGAAATGATGGCAGAAGCATTTAGACAATTGGGCAATTAACAAAGCGTGGCACCAATAACGACTTCGAAGTTAAGTTTCACAAGAAAAACATGTTTTTACATTCTTTCTTTGTATGACTTGGAGACAATTTCCTGAAGTCTGCAGTGGGTATATTTCTGATGGTCCGATAAGCCACCGTTCTTCAACCATACATACTCGACTGGGTCTTGTCAAAGTGCTGTCTGGAAGATCCTGCAGACCGATAGACTGGTCTGGTAACCACTTTAGCAGATTTAATATTATCAAGCCAAGTAACTAAATAATGAGAATCGTATTGTAGAGCCTGAATGAGGAGCTCTGCAAACAGAAAAGTACCTCTCTGCTTTGCCAGCTGTGACCTCCGGTTCGTTTTTTAAGCCACTTACTGTGAAGAATCCTCCTGCAAGTCTACCATGGGTAAAGAAATTTCTAAAGGACTTCTAAGCTAAGTAATTTTGGAGGACAAAGTGAAAGGAAATTCATTAAAGCTTCCGGATTAAGAGCAGACCTCTCTTTTTTTATGAAAAATTATGCAATACTGACAAGGGGATTATAAATCTCCTCATTCCTCCTTCTCTTCACTCCTTGCTTGGAAGGTGTTACTGCTGGCTGGTGGTCCCTGCACAGAGAGATCAGAGGGCAGAAAGGTTTTCGTCCTCAACTAGTTCTTGACCTTTCTACTAATGCTGCCAACAGTCTGGCCATTGAGCACCAGATGTGCCACCATTTGACGTACGCACCTTGTCCAGCAGGAACTGCACCGAGACCGCTAAATCTACGCACGACCCAACGGCAAGGTACCCCTTTCTTTGGAACCACCCGAGGCTTAACCCTAAGAGATTTCTTACTTTCATGCCATTTAAAACAAACAAAACAAGCAAGTGGCCTTTCTCTCCAGACACAGATTCATACCACGTATTTGAATGCAGTGAGTATTTTAAATCCTTATATAAACCAAGGTTAATGCTGTACTTCAGAAAAGACGAAAGCACGCTGTCTTAAGAGCTTTCTTATAGAGTTAGATCGCAGAAAGTGCTTTTAATATTTATTACCCAAATTACCTTCCTCTCTAAAATGTTTTTAAATCAGACAGATATAAACAATGAAAATATACTCTGTAAGCAAGATTTGCATACACTGAAAGTTACTCTCGTTCTTTTCTAGCGCATATGGAAGTAAATGTTGAAAATGTTGAGCATTTAAAAGAAATTATTACACTTTTATTGGAAAAATCAGACCTTCTATCACACCTTCCTACAATTAGGAAACCCAAAGAAGTTTCTGCAAATACGCAGTGTAATAAAACATGATTAAAGACAACCAACTGCCTGGATTTAGACTATTCAGAGCTCCTGTATTTGAAAACAAAACAAATTGAAAATGAACAAATTCAGTTTCGAAGCAATGTACTCCATTTTGGTAAACCTCTGTGTATCAAACAGCAGCATGTCAACTTGATTAAACAGTAATGCAGTATTTTTAGCATGTGATGTACTGATGAACTCATGATTTTAGTTACTGCACTTCAAAGGAAAAAAAAAAAAAAAGTCCCATGACCAGCTTCAGAAGAGTTATTCAGGGTAAGCAGTGTCTCAGTGCAAAAACGGTATCTTGGGTATAGACAGACTCATTTTGTATAGAAGACTATTCCATGCAATTAAGGGTTGAACAAACTTTTTTCCTTTTTGTTTCATTTTACAATCCATCACAGCTGAGTTCCAGTTCTTGTTTAGAGCTCCTCATTAAACGTGTGCATACCAGAAGTGTAAAAGAATATGAGGACAAGATAAGGAGCACCTTTGGAGCACTGTCTTCCCCCTTTTTCAGAGTTATCAAGAGTGGCAGAAAATACAGGCTATTTTTGCAAAGAAAGCACCTTTTTTATATTAAAATGACATATTAAATGACAGCATAAGTAATTTCAGAATTTAATACTTACTCCATCATAGATGGTGGAATAGTACAGCAGTCTTGGATTGCAGTCAAGGGCGACGTGAGATGAGCAGTATATGATGCTTCCACTACTTGCTTGTTACGATTCACAACATCCAAGTAACGGTTAAATTTCTCACGAATTTTTTTTGCCAACTAAAAAAAAATAATAATAAGAAAGATTAAAATGAAGCCAGTTTCTCTGTATTATCCCGGTCCTTATTAATCAAGTTAAATGGAAAGTAAAAACCGTGTATGTTAAAGATAATAGTGGTCTCCTTTGCTCATTGTACTTCTATTTTGGTGGCTTAAGCACTGTGAAGTCAAGTAATTAATAATATTGGCCACAGAAAGCAGCCTATACAAAAAGATAAAATACATTTACCATCTAGCAATGGGTTCTTGAACATAGAGTTTTGCATGTATGAAAAGTAAAATTTCCATTACGTCAAGCTTCCCTTTCATTAAGAACTGACACCTGGATACGACTCTACCTATGCCACTGGCTTACCAGTGAACCTCTCCAATATGCTGCTCTTACCGCTTCAGGAGCAAACAGCCACCAGTACATCTGCCAGTGCACTGAATCTATGTAAGGAACAAGCTCAGGCTCCAGGCAACCCCAAATACTGCCATGCATATTTCTCTGTTCATCAACAGCCTCCTCAGTCAAGGTGGATCTGCACAGAAGTATTTCACAACTCCTTTCATGTAGTTCTCCTCATCGCAACTTGGGCAAAATAAGCCATCCCAGTTCTTGCTTTTTTCTTTGTATCCTCTGCTGCTTTCCTGGGGTGCACCACGGGCTCTTAGCTGAGCACCTTCCGAGTGATTTTTTTCATTGATCCAGCAGCTCACTGCGGCTAGTCATAAGCTACAACAGTTTTAAGTACAAACTTCAACAACAAAATGAAAAATCTGTAATTGACATTATATTGCAACAGAAGGAAAATAATGACAACCGCCTTGCACAGGTGAAATCCTTGCACAAGCCTTTTGTTGTCAGAGGTCCCTCTGATGAAGGCAGCCACTTATAAATCAGGACAAGGTTTAGAGGTTACGCTATTACTTGTAAGAGCAGATGATCGTATTTCTCTCCTTTCAGAAAGTGAAAACAAACAGACTGTCATCCCTCCCCAGCAATTCTCAGGCCTTTAAAAAAAAAATTAGAGTGCCTAACTTTAGCAATAGCAAATTGGGTACTTCAGCCCTTCTCTTTAAATGTTTCTTAAAAAAAAAAAAATTTTTTTTTTAAATCAAGTCAACAAATTTTTGCAAACAAATACTTCCGAGCTCTGCATCGGGGCTTGCTGGTGTGCGATTTGAAGGCATGGTCGTGCCCGTGCCTCCTGCAAGCAGAGCCCCGTGCTCCCTCCGTGCCAGGCAGACTCAAAGCAGTCCGAAGGCACATGGCGTTAACAAGGGTAGAGCCTGCTGGGACACATCACAGGCCTATTGAAGCTCCTGTGCTGTCGGATAAGAGCTCGCTTGTGTCTAGTTCATGAGGCACTTCACCATGAGTCTGGCTAATGACTTTGCACGGGAAAATTGGAAGGGAAAATTTGTGGCTGTTATTTGAGCTAACGTAACGGTAAACACAGTTACTAAGAAGCATCAGGTTTTACACGAAACATTTACTGAGACTTTTGCTCCTAATCTTTCATTCCAAGTGAGAAATTAATGAAATGGATCAGGCAAGTACAAAATTTGCTCTGGCACATTCGGTATCCTTTTCACACCAACATATTTATTACATTTAATCATCCGCCAGACACATCCTAAATGAAAGAGAAGCATCTCTAAGCAATATACCACAGTGTTGGATACTCAGAAATAGTGCATTTTACTTTTCTGCAAACTTTTTTCAGAGCTGAAGTTAGCTCGTTAATTCATAACACTCATCTCTCCTGCTCACTCCAAACTCTATGGGGATGATTTAACGGTGCTGCTACATTTGGGTGCTGAGAAACACAGTTGGTTGTTCCAGATCCCCTGGACTGACAAATGTCTTTCCTAACTATTATTAACAGGACATTTCATCATGATTTACTTTGTTATGTGAATAATGAGGCCCACACTGATAACTGCATTGCCTTTGCCTCCATTGTTCCCAGCAAATGCTGCAGCTCAACGACAGGTCTCCTAGGAGCACAGGTTTTAATAGGACCTTGCTCAAATGACTTGCAGAATTATACCTAATTAGTTTTGTAGAATGATTTATTGCCAAGGCACCAGACGACTACTAATGGTCTCCTCCACTATCCAACACTATTAAATTGCTCCCAGTTGTTAGATAATAAGCTGCTGGGTAGTTCCTTTTCTATTTTCCGGTAAACTTTCTTTTTGTCCAACTGTACTCTTCTAATGTGTCCTTGAAAAGTGTATTCTTTGGAGGGTCTCAAACATACACAAGCCAAATTCCCTAAATTGAAGCATTTAAATTTCATGGTTAAAAAATTCCTCTCTCAGATTGGGCAAATGCAATACCTGTGCTTAAACACTACAGAAACCAGATACTTGAATTTATACACTTCTTTCTCGGTTTCCCTACCTGAAATCACAAAAAGGGGAGAGAGCTTAAGTTTGCTGAAAAAAAGGACTATGCGACCATCATTAGCAGTAACAAAACTAACACAGAGCATCAGAGCAAAAGGACTCTCGTTTGGAATCACTGCTTTTCTCTGATAAATGAATGCTATACAAGATGAGGTTTCGGTGTTGATGAGTTTTCACCTTCCAGGTCGAACGATAAAAGCACCCCACAGCCTTTGAATTTTACCCTGCTGTGCAGAGTCTAAAGATCTGACAAATCTGTTTTTCAGAAGAGCCCGTACCTCAGAAGCGGATAAAAAGCAAATGCTTAGTACCTAAATTGCATCATCTCCCATCGAAAAACCTCTGAACGGCTCAAGTCATTCCATTACTTTTATTAAATGGGATCCAACACTTCAGTCGGGGCACAGAGTCAAGTGCATGTCAGCAACAAGGGACCTGAAGCGTCCCAGAGCTACACAGACATTTATTCCCTGCCCACGAACATAAGCACGGCTGGAAGAACTGAGTTTGTCTAATCTGAAGAACCCTAAAAATACTGCCCTCTGATAGCAAGAGAACACTCCCAACAATCAAAACCACTTTAAAAACAGCTAACTCAAAAAAGTCACCAATGGCAAGATGATCCAAAAGCAATTTTCCATTGCAAATTGATTACAATGAATAAACCATGTTAAGAACCTCAGCATAACACACCAATCAGCTGAAAAATTACTAAAAACAAATGGGTCTAATTCATCAAACAGAGAAGTATAGTCCAGATGAAGCCTAACAAAACTAACTTAATTTTTCTTCCATAGTTGCGCTTCACTGGAGCACAAAAATCCACCACAGTGAACAGGCATTCCAGCTCTCAGTGATTAAAACAACAGCAAAAAAAAAAAACATACTTCCTACCTCCTCATCTATGCCTTGCGTGCCCATGCATGCATGCACACTCACATCATTAGCTCAGAAACATTATTCAGTTTGCAAAGTGATGCACTCAGTTGCTAGAGCCTGTCGGAATAAAAGCTGCAGGCTTAAATCAGCTTCTCATTTTTCTAAATAAAAAACTAAAATCTTTAACCAAAAGATCGCTATTTTTTCCAACATATGCCCTAATTTTTTTAACTGCCCAGAGCTGAATAGCCGTTGAATCCTGGTGGATGCAAGACCCACACCACACTGGTTCCAAAACCTCAAAGGTACAGAAAAAAAGAGATAACCAATAATGAAAAGACAGAGCATTGAACTATGAAACCATCCTAATATAATTATTTAAAACATTTTTAAGGCAAAATGGAAAACTGTGTCCCAAATCAGGCCCATAAAAGGGGCAGGTAGCTGACATCCCACGCTCGGGTATACCCTTGGGTAGGTACCAAGAGTGACAGACATTTCCTGCTCCCGCAGAAGTGCTCAAATTCACCCATTTTAATGGAGACTAAAATAAATCTGGATACCTTGAGATTGACATAAAATGCTATTATCCTCAGGTCAATTCTCACAGTGCTCTTCACCTCATTTTAAAAACAAAGGAGCGGGGAAAAGCCT